ATAATTTCTTTTTTTTTTTTTTTTTTTTACAGAAGATCAGTTTAGTATGCATTAAGTAAAGATTTCAACAGTTTGCACCCCCATAGAAACACAAAGTGAAATATATTGTTTGAGTACTCATTATAGCATTAAATCTCAATGCACAGCACATTAAGGACAGAGATCCTACATGAGGAGTAAGTGCACAGTGACTCCTGTTGTTGACTTTACCAATTGACACTCCTGTCTATGGCATCAGTAATCTCCCTATGCTCCAGTCATGAGTTTCCAAGGCTATGGAAGCCCTCTGAGTTCTCTGACTCTTATCTTGTTTAGACAAGGTCATAGTCAAAGTGGAGGTTCTCTCCTCCCTTCAGAGAAAGGTACCTCCTTCTTTGAAGACCTGTTCTTTCCACTGGGATCTCGCTCACAGAGATCTTTTGCCAGAGTGTGTTGGCTTTCCATGCCTGAAATACTCTCATGGGCTTTTCAGCCAGATCCAAATGTCTTTAGGGCTGATTCTGAGGCCAGAGTGCTGTTTAGGACATCTGCCATTCTATGAGTCTGCTGAGTATCTCACTTCCCATGTTGGATCACTCTCCCCTTTATTTATTCTATCGGTTAGTGTTAGCAGGTACTAGACTTGTTTATGTGCTCCCTTTGACTCTTAGTCCTTTCATTATGATCAATTGTGAACTGAAATCGATCACTTGGACTAGTGAGATGGCATTGGTACATGCCACCTTGATGGGATTGAATTGGAATCCCCTGGTATGTTTCTAACTCTACCATTTGGGGCAAGTCAGCTTGAGCATGTCCCAAATTATACATCTCTTCCCTCTCTTATTCCCACTCTTATGTTTAACAGGGATCACATTTCAGTTAATTTTCAACACTTAAGAATAACTGTGTATTAATTACAGAATTAAACCAGTCATATTAAGTAGAACAGACAAAAAAACTGCTAAGAGGGATAATGTATTAAGTTGTTCATTAACAGTCAGGGCTATGCTGATCAAGTCACCGTTTCCCATAGTGTCCATTTCACTTCAACAGGTTTCCTTTTTGGTGTTCAGTCAGTTGTCACCGATCAGGGCGAACATATGGTATTTGTCCCTTTGGCACTGGCTTATTTCACTCAGCATGATGTGTTCCAGATTCCTCCATTTTGTTGCAAATGACTGGATTTCGTTGTTTCTTACTGCGGTATAGTATTCTAAAGAGTACATATCCCATAATTTCTTTATCCAGTCTACCGTTGATGGGCATTTAGGTTGGTTCCAGGTCTTAGCTATTGTGAATTGAGCTGCAATAAACATTAGGGTGCAGACCGCTTTTGTGTTTGCCAATTTAAATTCCTTTGGGTAAATTCCAAGGAGTGGGATGGCTGGGTCGAACGGTAGGGTTATCTTCAGGTTTCTGAGGAATCTCCAGACTGACTTCCATAGTGGCTTGACCAGTTTGCATTCCCACCAACAGTGGGTTAGTGTCCCTTTTTCCCCACATCCTCTCCAGCATCTGTTGTTGGTAGATTTCTGCATGTGAGCCATTCTAACCGGGGTGAGGTGAAACCTCATTGTGGTTTTGATTTGCATTTCCCTGATTGCTAATGACCTTGAACATTTTTTCATGTGCCTGTTGGCCATTTGGATTTCCTCTTTTGAAAAATGTCTATTGAGGTCCTTGGCCCATCTCTTAAGTGTATTGTTTATTTTGTTTTTGTGGAGTTTCTTGATCTCTTTGAATTCTTGTTATCCATTTTTGGGGACAGATGTCTTGAAGTTCTCTTCAATGAGCTGAGCAGAAACAGTCTACACACAACATGTCATTTTGAATCAATTCTGCACAGGGAGAGTGAAAATGGACCAGTCAGCCCAGGAATTTGTTGTTATTGTTCATCATCAAATTTATTAGTGAACCATCTGAATCATCAGAAAGTGTTTGTTTATTTATTTTTTTAAGGAATACAAATTTCAGAAGTACAACTTGAAGAATATAGTATTCTTCTCACCATACTCGCCCTCTGACCCACACTCCCACCCCCCCTTCCCAGTCCCATTCTCCATTAAGATTTATTTTCAATTAACTTTGTACATGAAGTAGTATAGCTTCAGTGAGTGTTGCCTTCTCTAGTAGAATCTGGATTCTGGAAAAAGACTAAGTATTGGCTTCTCAATCTTATTGTTACTGAGTTTGAAATTGCTTTTATAATGCAAGTTAAGCGACTTTTCTGTGAAGAGTGAGTGACTTTTCTGTGGGAAAGATGTTAGTGGAATCTTAAAAAATAGTTAATCCTATTGATTGGCTCATTCAATTTAGGGAACTTTATTTTTAAGAAAATGGTCAAAAACCAGAGCTAACATGCATTCAAAAATTTTACTGTGGCATTCTTTAAAGTAATGAAGAACTGGGGATAAAACCTACTGCCCAATAATCAATAACTTGTTAAATAATGACATAATTGCATAGTGGAGTATTAAATATCTTTTAAAAATTATGACTGTGAATGTAGACATTTAGCCTAGCAGTTAAGGTATTCATGTCTCACATCAGGATTCTTAGCTTTCATTTCAAGCCCCAGCTCCATCTCTGGCTCCTAACTAAAATTTCTTCACAATACAGACCTTGGGCAGCAGCAGCAGTTGACCCAAGTAATTGTATTCCTCCACCTACGTGGGACACCTGAATTGTGTTCTCAGCTCCTGGCTGTGGTTCAGCCCAGAGATAACTGTTGTGAACATCTGGGGAGTGAACTATCAGATAGGAGCATATTCATTCTCTTTCTCTCTCTTCATTCTCTTTCTCTCTCTCTGTTCCTCCTTCCCTCCCTCCCTCTCTTCCCATCCCTCCCTCACATATAAATAAATAAAATTTTAAAAATATGATTTTGAAATTAATTTTTTCGAAAGGCAGAGGGTTAGGAGGTAGGAGGGAAGTGAGAGAGGTGCTACACTCCCTTTTGCTGATTACTCTCCCAAATACCCACAATGTTTGGGGTACATCCCTGGGACTGAAGCTCAGAGCCAGGAATTAAATCCAGGCCTCCCCTGTGGGTGGTGGGAACCCTTTTACTTGAACCATTACTGCTGCCTCCGAGGGTTTGGGCTATAGGAAAGCTGGAATCAGTAATAGAGCCAGGATCAAACATAGGAATGGGATGCAGGCTTATTAACTAGCATCTTACTCACTAGACTAAATGTTCACCCCCATTCTTAATGTAAAATATGGAAGTAAGATATTGAGTAAAAATGAGGTATTTAAGTTACCTATATATTTACTTTATATGTAGAAACAAGATAGATGTAATATATAGCATTTGGTTGATTCTATAACGTATGTATACTCATTTTAACATCTCTGACATAGATTTGTATTCTACAATTAACTGTATCTTCTAGATTAAAATGACAATATTTTTTCTCATTTTTTATTTGTATGAAATAATGTTGCAATTTCCTGTCAGGGATATCTTAGATTTGAAGAAAGAAAGAAAAACAGAAGTGTGCTATTGTAGGAGAAATTTCACTTATTAATAGAATTGTGTATATTTTTCCATAATAGCCATTTATTATGTGTATATTTAGAAGAGAGATTACTCTTTTTCATTCCACTGACATAAGATATTATTCCTACACTGACTTAGCAACATGTTAGTGTTTCCTGTAAGATTGATTCAGTATGACCCTGAAAAACGAAGCTGGTTTCCAGGGTCCACTTGGGGAAAAATTCCTGTCACATCAAATCACTTTTACACAAGTATTCTGTTTGGAAATCAGGTTTATATATAAGCTTCCCCACCACCCAATGTCCTGAGTCCCTGACTTATCCCAGTTTGCTCAGAACACCCCATATGCATGCCTTCCCCTTGGATTTCTTCTCTAATCAGTTTCCTTTGCTTGTCATACTCACTGTCATAAATAAAAATGCTACCAAATGATAAGTATGTTATAAAATCCAGAGTAATGGCAGGTGAATGAGAAGCATGTGGCCTGGAATTCAAGCACACTTAAGTTTTAAACCAGGTTTTGCCCATTACTGTCTGTGTAACTTTGGGCAAGTCATTTAACTTCCCCATAACAGAGCTCTCTTCTATATGACAAAGAAAACAATACAGGCCTCATGGGGATAGTGTGTAGATTTCATGAGAGAATGTTTATAAATTAACAGTTACATGTTTATATGTTCAACATATATTCATTTTGAGTGTGTGACTTTCCCAGGAATTCCCTACCCCCATAGAGTCAACAAAGGGATGGCCACTCCTCATGTTTCATTCACCTGAAACCCAGGGACCCTGCCCATGCCTTTTGATCCCCAAATACCTTCCAAATCATTCTTCCCAATTGTTTTCATGAAAAAAATCATTTAAGGGCCTACAACTTTTACTTACCCCTCATAGTTCTCTTTGCTCAATTCTGCTGTCAATTTTTTCTCTATTTCTCATTTTATTTAAGTTATATAAGTTTCATATATTT